TACCAGATTCAACTTGTAATTGGCTAAAAATAACTTAGCCTACCGGTGAGAGGGACGTTGCTAGCTGGTAGTCTTTTCAAGCGATGTTGAAATTTTCGCCTGCGGGATCCCCAGGTACTTGTAACTGTCCTCTATGTCTGCAATGTTGCCTTCTGGTAGTTCGATTCCCTCAGTTCTGACTACCTTCCCTCTCTTTGTTACCATCCGACTACACTTCTCCAGTCTGAACGACATTCTGATGTCATTGAGTATATACTGGTGGTGTGGATCAGTGAATCGATGTCTCGTTCACTCTTGGCATACAGCTTGATGTCATCCATGTACAGGAGGTGGCTGACAACTGCTCCGTTCCGTAGTCGGTATCCGTAGCCAGTCTTGTTAATGATCTCACTGAGGGGGTTCAGGCCTATGCAGAACAGCAGTGGGGACAGAGCATCTCCTTGGTAGATCCCGCACTTGATGGTGACTTGTGCTATGGGTCTTGAAGATTCCATAGGTCCCTCATCCTATTAATGACTGTGCCACATTGCAACAATAATGTTGCAAATTCTGTTTATTCAAAGTGTCTTTATTGCCTTCTTCTTAAATGAGAAAAAACATCTGCTGTTACAGATGAGAAAGCACTTGTTTTAACCAACACCTCGCACAATGTCAAGACATCTTACGATTGCTCACTTTGAGACCAAGAGTTTAATGAAATGAACCGAATTTGTTCTATAATACTGTCTGGAACGTAACCTTTCAGAAGGTGAGTCGTGATATTAAAAAGTCCCTGCATGTTATAAATGAACTGTTCCTCATTTTAAAAAGAATTTGAATGTCCCTGTCTGGGACCCATTGAAGACTAATTGCTTGCAGCTTCAAAATGTAGTATGTTCTTATTTATAGTATGATATCGTATAATATAGTATGTTATTCTTACATAATTTCTTTATGAATATTTATTGTTAGAATACATATTTTGGATCACAAAAACAAGTACTGAACACTTACTATATCATCATTTAGTTATGATGATGCTCATTGTTACAATAGTCATTTTCATATACATTTCCTAAACATCATTTTGAATTCGTATTGGAAAGACTCATTTTGGAAAGCCTTGTAAAAAAAGCAAAAAACCATTTGTACTTCACTTATATAGCACGCTTGACAATACTACAGATAATGTTTACACATCTTCAGTATGCTAGCCTCACACTGAAACACAGTTTATATAATTGAACAGATACAAAATGAAACAGGTTCTAAAACATTAAAGTCTAGTTATCAGGGAGAAGTCTATGGTTTCTTTGCATCATAATTCAAACACTACTGAGGTAGAAAGAAAATTACCAGATTTAGACAGTTACATCTCTGACATGTATTGACAAAAAATACACTTCTGGAATTTTGTACATGCCATTTTTCAATAAAATAACATTTAAAAAGTTTGTTTTGCTCTCATAAAGAAAACAAATCCTAAATGTCATGCAGTCATGCAGATGCATGCCATAAGCTGAAGAACTCTCACTCTTTTCTCAATTTTATTATACAGCCAAATTTCCATCATTACTGAAAAAAAATTAAAAAAAATTGGGGGTCATTAACTACAGGATTTACATTGCCGGTAACCTGGTAATAGATTATAGTAGCGAAAACAAGCCCAAGGTTTAAATCGTTGAATCTAGGACAACATTTTAAGTTAAAGTTTAGACCTGTTAACACACACACACACACACACACACAAGCTTCTTTATATTTTGTTTACAAGTAAGGCAAAAACAAAGTCTTTAGGAAAAGTCCTCCAGGCTGATTGAACAGCTTTAAAAAGCTTTTCTTTTGATGTTGGCTGCCTTTTGTTTCATTTGCTGTCAACACAATCCCTGGATTCTGGGATTGTGCTCCACTGTGTGCTAACCAGGTATGGTTTTATTGGTTTATTCACTGGTTTGGAATCACCGAGCCTCATTTACAAACAGTGCAAATGCACAATTTTTTACAGTAAAATCTGTGATTTATCAGTATTTTCATAACTGAATTTCTTTGTATTTTGCAAACAAATGTTGTAACCCCTCTGACCATGGATAACAAATCACAGCCTGGCTGCAGTAGGAATTTGAATTTGCTACAAAAAACAATACCCCCCCCCCCCCAATTATTATAGCCTTATTTACAGTTTTCCAAATGATCATATACCACAAAATAAATAGCACAGGTAAAGAAAACAAAAACACTAAATGAAAACAGTGTATTCAGCGCACGCATGTATAAACTGACAGCTTAGAGTACTCAGCCTTCTTGGAGTACCTGGGTGTGGTGCTTGAGGGTCGTCCTACTGCGAGACTGCAATGCTCATGTGAGCAACGAAAGTGAGACCTGGAGGGGCGTGACTGGGAGGAATGGCCTGCCAGATCTGAACCTGAGCGGTGTTCAATTCAATTAAATTCAATTTTATTTATACAGCGCCAAAACACAACAGTCACCTCAAAGTGTTTCATATTCCAAGGTAGACCCTACAATAAGTGTTGTGTTGACTTCTGTGCAAATAACAATTTGTCCATAACAAACACAATGTTTGAACATAAGGACAGACTGTGGCACCAGGACACCCTAGGCCGCAGGTCGATGATTGACTTTGTAATCCTATCATCAGGGTGGCTGTAGCTCAGGCAGTAGAGCAGGTCATCTACTGATCGGAAGGTTGGTGGTTTGATTCCTGGCTGCCAAATATCCTTGGGCAAGATACTAACCTTCATACGCCGATGGATTCATCAGTGTATGAAGGTGTGTGTGAATGTTAGTTAGAAAGCACTTAGAAAATGTGTTTGTGTGAATGCTTTACAAGTTGTGTAAAGCGCTTTGAGTCCTCGGAAGAGTAGAAAAGCGCTATATAAGAACCAGCCCATTTACCATCTTTGGCTATATGTTCTGGACACTCAGGTGAAGAGAGGCGCTGATCACCACCTGGTGAGTTGGATCAAGTGGTGGAGGAGATCTGTGGGGCACATGAATATATAGTGATGTTGTGCTGGGAATGCCACATCTTCAACTCCCACATTGGGCAGAACTTTGACAGCATTCCAAAGGATGCTGGGGAGAAGGAGGAGGAGTCCTATTGGGATTGATTACCCTGTGGGACTTTGGATTTAATTTTTTTGATTGATTCGTACCAACGGGTCAAGTGGAAAAATTGGACCAGTTCTTTATCCTCTCAAGGATACTTGAGGGTGCATGGGAGTTTGCCCAGTCTACATGTGTTTTGTGGACCTGGAGAAGGCATTTGACTGTTTCTTAGTGTTGTGTGGGAGGTGCTTCAGGAATAAGCGGTGTCTGGCCTGTTGCTATTCGCCATTCAGTCCTTATACGACTTGCAATTGCGCGGTCCACATTGCCGGCAATAAATCAGACTTGTTCTCTCCAAGGAGAGAAGTATTGAAGTCTTGGGGAGAGGGGAAAATGAGATCGACAGACAGATTGGTGCTGCGGCTGCAGTGATGTGGACGCTGTACCGGTTCGTAATGGCCTGCGTCCCTAACCCTCAACTATGGTCACAAGCTTTGATGGCGGAATAAGCTTTCTCCAAAGGGTGGCTGGCTTCTCCCTTAGAGAAAGGGTGAAGAGTCTGGCCATCCGGGAGGGACTCAGAGTAAAGCTGCTACACTTCCATATTGAAAGGCGGCAGTTCAGGTGGTAAGGGCAGCTGACAAGAATGCCCCCTGGGCGCCTCCTTGGTGAGGCAGAGGGGCAGACCCAGGAATCCTAAAGAGATTAGGAGGTGGTGGCTGGGGAGAGGGAGCTGCTGCCCCCCGCGACCCAGGATAAGCGCAAACAAACAAAAAATATATGGATGCAAAGAGGTGTGGGAGTCAACCTTCATCCACTCATTTTCTTCCACTTATGTGGGACAGGGTCATGGGGCAGAGGCCTAAGGAGAGCCGCCTAGACCTCCCTCAATCCTGCTACCTCCTCCAGCTTATTTGAGGGAACACCGAACCTGTCTTTACCACAACAGAGTGGCGGGCAGCATCCACAGCCTCATCTATTAATTTAAAAATATTCCATTAATCTGTGTTTTATTGTTTCTTAAATGTTCTTATTTTTCCACTGAAAATGACTTCTACCATTGCTGGATGTGATCATTTGCAATATATATGTTTTTGGTACTACACCCTTGATGCTGAAGAATCTGGATTTTCTGTTTTCATTGCATTGAGCTTTTCATATGAGGCTGACAGATTACTCCATGTGGTCCTTGTTCTCCGTCTGTTAGTCATAGCGCCTTTTTCAAATTTTCTTTCTTACTTGAGCGAAAATAAGTGTTTCAGGGGAAATGAACTCCTGCATTTCAGACTCAGTATCGCTTTTTATTTATTTTTAAAAAGTCATCACTCCTGTGGAAACACTTTGGAAAGCTTCCACCTTGGACCTCAGACATTATTATTTAATTTTGTGCAGTCACACTTTCTCCTTATTTCCTGCCTAGAGGTGCAGGCGTCTCTCTTTACCACATTATCACCACTTTCTCCACTTCATCTGGAGGGAAATGTGTCCTTATGTAGAAAATTGGGGCGGTTCAGTCTGCAGATAGTATGCAAACTGTATGGAGATTCTACAAGGTTGTTGATTCCGAACACTTCAGATTTATTAAAATAAGCAGTAAAAACTAAATAGGCCGGTTGTATGTTTTATAAATACAACAATAATTTTTCTTGGGAACAATTTTTTTTTTCCGTTACACAGAGTAATTCTACGTAAACATTAGTAAATGAGGCCCAGTGTCATGCTGACACTTTACAGCTTTACAGATGCACAGACACTTCTTTAATAGGTTCATAATTTCATCAGTTTTGATAAGACTGCCAACATCAGTGGCTGAAATGCAGCCCCAAACCAAAACAGAGTCCCCACTGTGTTTAACGATGGCTGTAAAACACTCACCGTTGTCTCTTCTTGACCTTCTTCATGCACTCTAGCAAGCTGAATTTTTTACATTTGGACCTATAGCTCCATAAGATGTGGAGGATTTTCTCCCCGCTTCCCTTCTATTGGCTTCTTGACACATTTCCTGTTTTTGACGATGCATCTCTCCCCGACCGTTTCTTAATAACATGTGACATAATTATTTGAATACAATTTCTCTTTGCCATGTGATTTGTATCAATGTTTCAGTGACAATTACTTTGACATCTTCCACATTTTGCAGTTTTATATGCTTTGACAATGGTGGCATTAAACCTCATGGAATGAACCTCTTCTTGCAGGTTTTACAAACATTCTTCCTCTCACTTGTGCAACTTCTTGTGTACACTGTCAGTCACTACTTTGACCACATCTTGGTGTAGTTTCGCTAAATTTCACCCCCTCACCCATGTGGATTCTTGTGTGATCCGTCACAGAACTGAAATCTTTGCCAGGAGATTTGCAAAGGTGCTGCCTCTCAGCTGTGTGATTTTTCACGTGAACACTCCCACCACTTTGAGTAAAAACTTCTCCAAATGTTTTGTAAGAACTCTCACTTGTGTGAGACCCCATGTGGACAGTCAAATGACTATTTTGACTGAAAGTCTTACCACAAGTTTTGCAAGAATATGGCCTCTCACCTGTGTGAGTTCTCATGTGGACATTCAAATGACTGTTCTGACTGAAGCTTTTACCACAGGTTACACAGGAGTAGGGCTTATCACCTGTGTGAGTCCTTATGTGGACAGTTAAATCCCTCATTTGGCCAAAACCTTTTCCACATGTTTTACAAGAATACGGCTTCTCACCTGTGTGAGTTCTTGTGTGCCTTTGCAACTTTGATAAGCAGGTAAATTTTTTCCCACATGTGTTGCATTGATAAGGCTTTATACCTGTGTGAGTTTTCATGTGGGCAGTCAAATTACCGCTTTGTGTAAATCTTTTTCCACACGTGGCACAAGAATATGGCTTCTCACCTGTGTGAAACCTAACATGACGTATCAAATTTGAAGCGTCCCTAAACGGTTTCCCACAGATCTTGCAGGGATAGGGCTTTTCACCTGTGTGGGTTCTCATGTGGTTCAGTACTTTGTCACGTCTTCTGAAATTTTTCCCACATGCTTCACAAGAATATGGCTTTTCACCCGTGTGAATGGTTATGTGGCTCTTCAACTTTTCCAAGCGGATAAATCTTTTTCCACAAGTGTTGCAGTGGTAAGGTTTTATACCTGTATGCGTTGCCATGTGCACCGTTAAATTGCCTTTATGATAAAATCGCTTCCCACAAGTATCGCAGGAATGTCGCTTCTCACCTGTGTGATATCTAACGTGACATATCAGATTTGATCTGTCACTAAATGCTTTCCCACAGATGTTACAGGCAAAAGGCTTTTCACCGGTGTGAGTTCTTATATGGACCAACAAGTTATCCTTTCTCCTGAATTTTTTCCCACATGCGTCGCAAGAGAAAGGCTTCTCACCTGTGTGAATGCTCGTGTGTACTTTCAATGTTGACACGTATTTAAATCTCTTCCCACAGGTGTTACAAGAATATGGTTTCTCATCTGCTCTTCCCTGGCATAGAGAGTCGTGAGAAAGGAGCTGGCTGTTTGGCTCTTCTTTACAGGAACTCTGTCCCTCAAAAACTGAAGAGATCATGAAGGGATTGGTTTGCTGCTCCAGTACAAGCTGCTCTCCCTCCAGTACAAGCTGCTCTCCCTCCAGCACAAGCTGCTCTCCCTCCAGCACAAGCTGCTCTCCCTCCTGATTTGTGAAGAGTTCCTCCTCTTCCTCTTTTATTTGTAGAAGGCCTAGGTCCTGCTCGTTCAGACCAGATTTATTCTCCAGGTTAAAGAGCCATTTGTCATCGAAAATGTCCTCCTTGCATGCATAGTGGTCTAAAGGAATAAAGGGACACATAAAAACATTACTACTGTGATGAGAGGTAAATACATTTTTCAACACCAATAATGACCTTAGACATTGTTGTATTTGGTGTATGATATTGTGAGTTTTTTCTATTAGTTCACCATCTAAATGTATTTGCTTCCACCAATTTGTATGTGTGCAGCTGACAGCCGAGGCTTGTGCGTTAATAAAGACAAGCCTGCAGTCTGCGAGTCCTCTGTTGGGATAGTATGAGTACTATGAGGTAATTAAGATATAATGGGGCCTGATGATTCAAGACTTCGTAGGTGAGAAGAAGGATTTTAAATTCAATTATGGATTTAATAGGTAGTCAGTAAGGACAACCCAGCATGGGAGAAATAGTTCCCATTTCTAGTTCCTGTTAGTGCTGCTGTACATTTGCTGCAGTGTCTTAGATCCACTTATGCTTTTCTGGGAGCCTTTAAAATAGCCAACAACAAGGAGTCAATATAGTTCAGCCTTGAAGTAACAAATGTGTGGTGTAGTTTTTCACCATCACCATTAACTCGGACGTTACAGGACATATGCTGGTTAAAAATGACTCCGAGACTCTTCAGTGTTTCTGGAGTCGTTGTGTTAAACCAGAGTAAACGTCATGTTTCTAAAGCTCCATTTTGTCTGAATTTAGGAGAAAAACAATTACTGGACATGTAGACCGTTATGTCTTTCAGACAAACCTGCAGTTTAACTGATTTCTGTTATCAGGTCTCATTTTTGAAAAATAAATAGGTAGACTGGAAATCAATCTGTACTGACCTGAGGCAGCTTTATCAACTAAAGGCTTTGAAAGTAATGGTTAATTTACAGCAGCATAAAAACCCGTGGTACATAATGTTTTTAACACTGATAAAATTATCACTTTTAATATCAATGCATTGTATTTCTATTGTGTCTAATAGACACACTGATGGTTTGGAGAGACTGAAAGAAGCAGTCTAAATAAAAATCAGTGGATGTTTAAGTTGAATACTTGAAGATGGATCTCATGGAAGGATGTGATCGTTTCCTCTCTTGAATGGCTAAATTCTTTTGCTTGTGAAGAATTTTATGAAATCATGACTACTTAAAGTTAATAGGTTATTGGGCTGTGCAGAGCTCTGACTGTCAGCATAGCTACGGTGCAGAAAAGAGGATGGTTTTTATTAGTAAGTGAGTTTTTGTTAGAAAGGAACAAACTATTTTTCCAGGACAAACTCTAACTTAGAGTTATCTCCATGAAGGCATGTATTGGTGAGTTATATGAAGGAAATATCAGCCAAACTGCTTTGATTTGCCATTTTCTTTTTTTTCAGTAGTAATGTTACATTCACTCTGATGAATGGGAACATTGTAACCTTTGTTTCTGTGTTGTCTCTTCTTTGGCTTCAGCTTTGTGCTGGTGTCCACACGGTTGTCTACTTCCTGGTAATGATTCTTAGATCCAGGAGAGCTGTGACAGATGAACTGGTCAGAACGTATTTTGGGTTCATTATCATCACTTTCCTCATTAGTGCAAGGCACCATGAAGGTGTCAGTTTCCTGCTTCAGTAAAAGCTGCTCTTCATTCTCAGTGAAGCAGTGTTCCTCGTGTTCCTCTTTAATCGGCAGAGGAACCGTTTCCTCCTGGTCCAAACTGGAGATGCTCTCCTCATTGCAGAGCTGCTGGTCTGTGAGAACGTCCGTATTGTAGACATGTTGTGGGAGATCTTCAGAAAAAAAGAAATAAAAAGGTACACATGACAAAGGTTACTCCTGTGATCATTGGACATTCAAGTTAGTGACAGAAACAGGTTTCTTTGTGATAAAACACCAATAAAAATGCTAAATTTAAGGTTCTACAGTGAGAGCATGCTGCTCACACTGTTTCATCATTTGTTGGACAGCTTTAATTGAAGCGGCTTTTTAAAAATGTACATTAACCATCCATTTCTGTTCTCAAACTGATCTCCCTGTTGGAGCTCAGTGTGGGGGGGGAGTTATTTTTTCTCCTTGTAACAACAAGAGGCATAGCATGGGAGGCGGCGATAAAGAGAGGGGACTGGAACTACTAACAATGCGAAGCCTTAGTTTTTAACCTTTCAGCGTCAATCTGCGATTGAGGATGGAGCCTCTCAGTGCCTCATTTGTAAATTAAATATCCTCCACAGAGCTTTATGTTGTGCATTTTCTATGGTTTCGGTTTGGGTCGCTGCTCATGTGGTCGAGCAGCCAGTGCTACCTAGCCTGACCTGTCTCTCCAATGTGATGTTTGTGTATTGTATGTATGGTCGGCAAGGTATCATCTACTTTAATTGCCCCTTGGGGATAAATAAAGTCTCTCTGACTGAAATACAGATCTTTTTGTTCTTGTCTTCCATTTTTAGCCTAAATTAATTGGAGAAATTTTCAAGAAATCTTTTTGATACTTGATGAAAATCGTTTGCAGTGGATGTCTAAAGTCCAAGAACTTCTCAAAGGAGTACGAATTCACAAACAGGCTGCTCCTGGTTCCAGGTATTAGCCTTAGCACCAGTCTGCAGCATGCATCAATCATAACGCACAGCACGATGTGCCACACGCTTCAAATGCTATTTGTTGTCATATTTTAGTAATATGCAAACATCTTTTGTAGTAACATGTTTTCATGTTTGACATCAGTTTATTGTGTGTTTTTCCTCTTCGGTGTCTGTCTGCAGTATAGTGTGTAATGCGCATAATGCACAATGCCAGGTATGAAGAATGTGATTAGTTGTTCAAATGTTATTAGTTTTTGGCATGTTTACTTAACGGTTTTTCAAATGTAACATAATATCTGAGTGTTTCTTAGTTTTAGACGAGTTAGGTGATTAAAAAAAGAAAAACAGACTAAGACGTCAGGAACATCCCTGGCTTCCAGTGGAGAGCTGTGTTTATGAAAAATCCAATATCACTCTTATTACCCTGGTGTGTTTCTGACTCTCCTCAGAGCACATGCTCCTCTTACAATTAGTTTCAGCAAAATTGTAAATCAAGTAGGAAAATTACATTTATGGAATTGACAGAGTCTAGACATTATTTTATCGGCAGTCCTCTAATGACCCGTTTTCTGAAAGGCACCATGTGGTTGCTTTGTTTAGTGCCATGTCGCACATTCACAGCTCCCACAAAGCTCACCCTGAACTCACCACACAACAGCTGATTAAAGTCACCCACCCATATCTACACTGCTCTAGTACACTTCACATTTGGATGGCTGCTAGGTTAAAACAGGGTTTGGAAAAACATTCCTCTTCTGGTACAGCATTGGACTGAAAATGATTTTAAAATCAGCCAGTAGCCAAAGAACAAAAAAATATATTGCAGTAGGTGAAACTGTGGCCTCTCCTATGCAAAGTATACATAAACCATGAGCAGGTTAAGACTTTTGCACAATATTGAGTTTTTATACTTTACCAGTCTTGGTAGCCGGGAATCGGTCCGCCAGGACCTTCGATCCTGGCCGCCGCCTAACTCACATTGCACCAGACCCCTATGGCGCCTCCTGCGGGTGGTGGGCCTGCAGGAAGATGGGCCCATGTCCCCTTTTCGGGCTGTGTCTGGCCGAGCCACCAGACGCTCGCCCTCGGGCACCCTCCCCCCCAGGGCGGGGCCCCAGTAACCCTATCCCGGGCAGGGTGAACTGTTCCCTCAATGGTCCTTTCATAGGGGTCTTCTGAATCGCTCTTTGTCTGGAGTGCCCACTCCGGGTCAGGAATGAGTTCCTGCCCCAAGTGGAGGAGTTTAAGTATCTCGGGGTCTTGTTCACAAGTGATGGGAGAAGAAAGCGGGAGATTGACAGACGGATTGGTGCTGCGGCTGCACTGATGCAGACGCTGTACCGGTCCGTCGTGGTGAAGAGAGAGCTGAGCGTAAAAGCGAAGCTCTCTAACCCTAACCCTACCCTCACCTATGGCCACGAGCTGTGGGTAGTGACCGAAAGAACGAGATCGCGGATACAAGCGGCAGAAATGAGCTTCCTCCGAAGGGTGGCTGGCCTCTCCCTTAGAGATAGGGTGAGAAGTTTGGCCATTCGGGAGGGGCTCAGAGTAGAGCCGCTGCTCCTCCACATCGAAAGGAGCCAGCCGAGCAGTTTGGGCATCTGACAAGGATGCCTCCTGGGCGCCGCCTGGGCGAGGTTTTCCGAGCATGTCCCACCGGGAGGAGGCCCCGGGGCAGACCCAGGACACGCTGGAAAGATTATATCTCTCAGCTGGCCTGGGAACGCCTTGGTGTTCCCCAGATAAGCTGGAGGAAGTGGCTGGGGAGAGGGAGGTCTGGGCTTCTCTGCTTAGGCTGCTGCCCCCGTGACCCGGCTCCGGATAAGCGGAAGAAGATGGATGGATATATTTTACCAGGTGAAAATATTTAAGAATGAAAGCTCTCAAAGAGAACACCCCAACAATCATCCTCCATGGAGCAAGCATTTAGGTATTCGTGCACTACACGAGTAGTTACCTGCACGAGTAGGTTTTTTTTGAAGAAAGCACCATCTGTTGTTGACACTCAGCAAAGCGGTGTGTTTATAGTGGACACTGAGCTGCAGCCATCCACTGAGTAATTGTATTAACTCAATTATAAAACATCATCGTTGCAAACTCTTTGCTTCAGTGCTTCATTTAATGCATGACTCTGTAGCACTCGCCCATATCTTCAACTGAAAATAGACCTGCAGGGCTCTAGAGGGCAACCAAATCTCTGACTGTTCGCATTTGGGGGGTTAGCGTCCAGAGATAGTCAGGGATGGGTCCTCTGCGATTGGCCGTGGTCCTGTAATTGTCCCTTAGTCCTTCGCATGGACGTTTGAAAGTGCACATAGAGAGAGGTGAGTAGCTTGAACAAAGCGATATCGATTCATGAAATCCTGAACCGACTTTTAAATATAAATGTATTTTGCCAGAAATGCCGGAATCTCAGGTTAAAGCTCACAAAACTATTTCAACAAACAGCAAATGAGAGCAGGAAGCCATAAACAGAGCGGACCATCAGAATCAGCTTTCTCTTTCTTGGATTTCTCACCCGACAGCACGTACACGAACACGCCGTCGGGGCTGAAAGCCGACAGCTCACTGACTCTGAGATTTAAGATTCCTTAAATAATGTTTTATTAATAAAAGAAATCTGTCCACCCAACATCAACATATCTCAGA